AATCGCTGGGCTTGTCGAATTGATAGTGCTCAAGTTTGGGGAGGGAGGAAAGGGATGATGACGTGGCACGACGAGGATCTTTATCCGTAGACGTGGAGGAGCGAGAATTCACTAAAATAAATAACCAGTTAAACTCAGCCACGTGTGGGATTTGGTTAGTTTTGTATCGGTTATTTTGGTTCGCTTTTTCAATCGGTTATCTCGATTCGATTTCCGAACCGATTAATCTGAATTGAACAAACCCTACTCTTTAAAACTCAAAGTCAGTTAAAAATGGTTTTGTTGTGATAATTTACATCTGCTTCAATTCCAAAAGATTCACAGATTATAAATAAGAACGAGTAAGTAGAAAGCTAATACTGAAACTTGCTCATGTCTCTACACAAAAAAAAAACAAAGAGAAGCCACATAACACTTTGAAAAGTACCGGAGCTTTCTCTCGATAAATCAGTAGCAGTATCCTGCATTTTGCTATTTTCGTTTCGGTTTGTCGCTTTTCACTGTTTCAGTTTCTGTGCTTACTATCACTGGCTCAGGTGGTCCTCTAGCTATTGGAAAGCCACCACCAAAACTTTGCTTCGTTTTAGCGAAATCCACATATATAGCACGGCCGTTTAATTGCTGGAAAAGAAACTGTTTTGTTACCAAGAAGAAATGATTTTAACAACTGAAAGCATTAAGACAAACACGTTATATACCCGTCCGTTCAGCTCTGTCAAAGCCTTCTGAGCTTCGTCATCTGAGGCAAATGTCACAAATCCGAAACCTTTCGATTTATCAGAGACTCTATCCATAATAATTTGGACTGAGAGAAGCAAAAAGAAAACATCTCAAAAACTCTGATAATCCTCTGATGCGAACAACTGACTTTGTATATTGTATTTAGTATACCTTCAACAACTTGGCCGAATTGGGAAAATGCCTCAGATAATCCTTGCTCGGTCGTGCAAAACGATAATCCTGGGAAAAAAATAAGAAACATGGTTGATTGGGAGTTTAAGCATTATTGGAGAGTGTAACTTCACAATGACTTCCATAACAACACAGATTATTTCTACTGGAATGTGCAGGAAATAAAAACAAACAGCCATTACAAAAATGATCAGAAAGTAGAAAACCATCAAGTCGAATAATCGACTTGCGACAAACCACAGAATGTAAACACATAAAGGTCACAATTCACAAGAAGAATAACCATAGCTTGCACATGGCATTGGAGAATAGGTTGCAGAATACTAATCTTAGAAACAAAAAAACAAAGTATAAAATCAAATCCATGAAGTATAAAAACTCGTAGAATAAGAGGCGTTTAAGAGTTACATACAACAGTCAAGAAGCTAGCTACGATGATCATCCAAATTTTATTGAATTACAGTCCCAAGAAATTTGCATCCATTGTTAACGAACTTGCATCCTCTAAATCCAACCCTAGAGACGATACTAATAAACCTAAAACCTCCAATTTCTAGCTAAGATAATCATTCAATCAACATACAAAACAATTCTCCAGATATTGGATTTGTATTCACTAAATCGGCAAAAGAGAGAGAGGGAGAGTACCGCCAACAAAGAGCTTGGAGGCAACGCCACGGCGTTGAGTGAAGAAACATGAGGCGGAGGAATTTATAAGTCCGGCGGATTTCAGGTGGCAGCCAACGATCCTTGCGAGCGCCGCCATTGAAATGATGTCGCGAGAGGACTGAGTGTAAAAAAATTGAAGAGACTACGATAAGTATACTGTGAATCGGGTAACCCGGAACTGGCCCGGTTTGGGCCCAACTCAACCTGAATATTTTGGGAAAACATACTATTTCACCCCCGAAACTTTCATATCCTCGTAGAAACATCCAGATAACTAATCGCGTAGTATTTCCCCCCAGTATGAACTTTACACTATTATTTCACCCCAGTTCTGGATTTCATCGGTTGACAATAAAACTGGATCGTAAACTGGATCCACCGGTTAGTAAACCCGAGTGTTATGAAGACCCAAAACCCGTAGTGTACCCAGTTTCTTTCATCGCAAAATCAAAAATCTCCAATTCAAAGAAGAAGAACCCTAATTCTGGGTTTGGCGAAATTGAAGCTCAGAATCGAGAGTAAGTCGTCGTAGTGTTTATATACTGTAGTTTCGTAGTTTTTGGTGTTTAATTTGAAGTGTAGATCGGTAATTCTGGGTTTGAATCAAAAATTTGAAATCGAAATTTTTT